CGGGACCTCTGTGGTGATTTATTCTCAGGTCCGGAAGCACTGTGATGATCTATTTCAGGTTCGGGACCTCTGTGGTGATTTATTCTCAGGTCCGGGAGTGCTGTGACGATCTATTTTAGGTTCGGGACCTCTGTGGTGATTTACCTTCAGGTCTGGAGCCTCTATGACGATGTATTTGAGGTTCGGGATCCTAGTGGTAATTTATTTTCAGGCTCGACGGTGATTTTTTTTCAGCTCCGGCACCGCTGCGGCAGACTATTATCCGGATTCGGCACCCTCACGGTGGCATGTGTCAGGTTCGGTACCATTGAGACAATTTATTGGGGACACTGTGGTGACTTATTTCAGGTACGCCGTCGCCACGACGGCTTATTTCAGGTTTTGCGGCTTCGGGATGATTTATTTTCAAGTCTGGAGACTGCCGCGGTGGTCTGTCTCAGGCCCGGAACCTGGACGACAGGTTATTCCAGGTTCGGTGCTATCACAGGTAATTAACTCAGGCTCGGCACCATCACTGCGGCCATCTATACCCGGTTTGGTACCACGACGCCCAGTTGTTGACCCGACGACGGTGCTCACGTACCACCCGTAATGAACCTGTGCTGGGCCTGGTACCGACGGTCTCGGATGTGAGATTGGGGCTTTCTATCGTAGCGAATCCCGATGATGTAATCGGATGTCGAAGGAAGTGGGTGATCGTGATGCTACAGAGTACAGAGAAAGTGACAAAGGAAAAGAGTCGAGAGAGGTGTGAAAGCAAGATTGACTGAACTTGGAGAAGAGGCTTTACCACATACTTGCGGAATAATAATAATAAATAAAATAAAATTATGGATGTATCTTCCAGTGTTCTAACGGAAGATCCATTCTCAATTTTATATGGATTAGTGGTGGAGTGTGGAGATTGTCAAGTACATCGGCTCATCGTCACAATCATTGTGTTTAAAATACTCGTTGCTGCATCCACCGCCAGGGTAGTCAAGTTTGTTCTTCTGCATTCTCCCTCGATCCTTCCCTCATTGAAACCTCGTTTCGCGCTAAGGTAGTGGTCCTTATTACCCTGCTAGTAGTGAGCAGTTCACTACCCTTGGTATCACGACGTTCCTAGAGATGCTAGTGATGTGCTGAAGGCGGTTGTGATGGTGATGGTGGCCGCAGTAATGGTCGATCCAACAATATTCATTACCAAGGGCCTGTTGAGGGTAGTCTTGCCCGCGCCAAGAGATCGTTAGTAGTGGGTCTGCTCGTCTGTGTATCTTTTTAACGCAGAACAGGGGAATTAAACTCCCGTTGAATCCCGTTAAACTCCAAAAGATCCCGTTGAATTCGCGTTCAACGCGAAAATGGGCCGCTCCCGCGCTTGTCGGAAAAACGGAATTAATGCGCGGGGTCCGGAACACGTGGCCCTACGCAAAAAAAATAAAAATAATAAAAATAAAATAAAAATAAAAAATTCCCCCCAACCCCTGAAGCACCTCCCATCCGCCCCCACATTCACCAACCCCCAACGTCCCAGTTATGTGTGTGTAGGTGTGCTGTGTGTGCGCGTATCTGTGTATGTGTGTGCCTGCCGTGAGAGTGTGTCTGTGCATGAATATGAATGTATGCGCGTGTGTTTGTGTATGTGTGTGTTTGTAAGTGTGTGTTTGTAAGTGTGTGTGTGTGTGTGTTTGTGTATGTGTGTGTTTGTAAGTGTGTGTTTGTATGTGTGTGTGTGTGTGTGTATGTGTATGTGTGTGTTTGTAAGTGTGTGTGTGTATGTGTGTGTTTGTAAGTGTGTGTGTGTGTGTAAGTGTAAGTGTGTCCTGCGCGTGAGAGCGTGTGTTGCCTTACTCACAACCTCGTTCCCCAACATACAGATTCCACTTGCACCCAAGGACCACCCTGCGCCACACCCAGCTTACAGCAGCGCAGCTCGGCTATGGTTGCCTGCTCCTTCCTGCTCGCCCGTGAGCGCGTGAGTGGCACGAGCTACAGCGCGGCAGCGCTTACGCAGCATGCAACCAGCACCGGAATGCCCAATGTGGAGGCAGGCCCTTTGCTATATCGAAGTGGCCTGCCTGTGTTCAGTCCCAGGAAGCTACCAGTAGGCCTCGGTAGCCTGAGGCACAGCACGAACGAGAACAGGCCTTGGGCCTGAGGTGGTTGCATGCCCCCAACTGCCTTTGGCCTGTGTTTGGCCTAGTACCCGTATCCAGCCCAGGGCCTGCTGTCCATACATTCACACAGGCCGCCCAGGACCTGGGTTCCCTCAACCAACTGACACCAGACTCATGCAATCTGCTACATGCCCAATTTTGTGTGTGTGTGTGTGTGTGTGTGTGTGTCTTTTTTTCCTTTCTTTAATTTGTTTTTTATGGTTTTGATTTTTTTTAAAATATACGAAATTCCATAAAAATAAAATAAAAAATAAATTGTTGTACATCTTTGAAAGATCTACAACCCTATATTTTTTATTTGTTTTTTTTGTTTTCGTTTTAGCCATTAAAAAATATGTGTGAAACCCAAAACAAAAACACTCATTTCATTTTAGTTTTTGTTTTTTCATTGTGTGTTTATGTTTTTGATTTTTTTTAAATAGATTTAAGCATCAAAAAATAAAAATAAAAATACAAGGTTGTAGTCCTCAACAAAACCTACAACCTCATTTTTTTAATTTTTTTTTGGATAATTTTTCGCCCAAGAAGAAAATCATCCCGGACCCCGTTAATTCCCGTCCAACTCGCGTTTGAACGGGAGTTTAACGCGAATTCAACGTGCGTTGAATTTTTCAACGTGAAACCCGCGTTAAATCCAATTTCGGACACACAGCTGCTCGTCATCAAGTTTCTACTCATAGGCTAAGTTGTTGTTGCTTTGCTTAAGGTGATTCAGTTGCAGACATAAGGTTGTTATGGCGAGGGATGAAAGCAACAGGTAAGAGAAGCTGAAAAGAAGGAGAGAGGAAGGAGAATGGTGGTGTGAGGCCACACACCTGGTCTTGGCAATGGTCTGCAAAGTCGACATCTTCATGCACTTCGTATGGCTGCTACTGACGTCAACAGGATACATTGCCAATACATAGGCTGCTACTAGTTGTGTAACAGTAGTCTGTGCACTGAAAGCCAAGTGGGAAGAAGGGCTCTGAGGACATATGTTGGTGATGGTGGGGGTATGCTCTTATTAACAATCGGATACGGTGCTTCAGGCTTCCGGTTGGTGGAGTATCAGTCATTTTTACCGTCTGAACAATGTCGGACTTTTTGATCGCCGATGGAAGATTGTATTCCGGATCTTTGTCAGTTTGTTATCACTCGTTTTTCTCGAGAAGAAGAGAGAGGCGGGCAAGCGCAGTTGCAACTAGTCGGGTAAGCGGATGTGACAGATTGCGTTGGAGTGGGTGGTCAACTCACAACTTGTCGTTCAGGCTGGTCTCCAGAGAGGGAGTTCACCTGCAAACCGAGGGGATTCTAAAGCTAATGCGTGTAGGGTACCCCATCTTCTGATCTCAGTAGTCCGCTTGTTAGTCGGAGTATATAAGAGGTGGCTTGGTGACTGCGGTCTGAGCACAGGATGCCGCTGAGGAAGAGAGTTGGGTTCGGGCCATGATGGTCGGGCATGTTGTTGGAGAGGGGCTGATGTTGTTGCCGCAGCTGGTCGCGACCATCATTGAGGAACTATTGCTAATTTCAACCTGATTAGACTTGGGGAGATTGATGCTGCAGAAGACTGCCATTTTGTTCTTTGCGGATGCTACTATTTAAGTTCATAGAGCACGTTGATTGCTGAAAACTGACGGATTTTTTTTAATGCGTTAGTGGCTGCTATTGCCTTGTGCACCTCCGAAGATAGCATTACTACGACTGACGTTTGATGGTAGACTGTTGAGAACCGCCTGCGTCCTGAATAGAGCCAGAGGAGGTGTGAACTATTTTTGAACGTGACCCTTCTAAGCTGTGTAGCAATGGGGTGGTCAGGGAGAGCGATGCCACAACTCGAGCGAGTGATCAGCCTGCAAAAGGACAGTTATTGCTACAACTTGGAAGTTCATCAGAGTCTCACTTGATCTGCAATTGTGCATGGGTTGGCCATCCTGTTGCGATTTTGGCCACCTTTGTGGGGCCCTCAGGCGTTTCAAGGAATCAAGGCCATTTTGCGCGAGTTTGACCGCACCTATCTTGTATCTGAGAGACTGAATACTTTCTTCTTCTGCCCTTCTCACTCTAAGTCTAGTCTTTTGGTTCAAAGAAGAAGGCGGCAGACGGGATTGAAACCCGTAATCCCCGTCAAGGCCTCTGTGGGAGCTTCGCCCCACCGATTGTGGGAGCTCTGCCGAGGTTCAGGCGGGACCCTGGAGGCAGGGGACTTTGAGGTAGGCGGACGTGATCTTCCTTAGTATCCCGTATACCTCTATCTATACCACCCTTCATTCAGTTTGATTGAGTTTTGCCTTTTTGTATATTTCCTAGACTTTAATTCAGGACTTCAACCGAATCAGAAATAATTTACTATGCTTGTCTAAATTTATCTGCCTGAAATAAAATCCACGATGTCTGCCTGCGATGATTTAAAATGGGGCTGGAGATGAGGTCCTTCTAACTAATCCGGTCGCTTTGCTCGTTTGCCCAAGACATTGAAATGAGGCTGGAAATGAGGTCCTACTGACTGATCCGATCGCTTTGCTCGTTAAGACATTGAACTGGGGCTGGAGATGAGGTCCTTCTGACTAATCCGGCCGCCTTGCTCGTTTGCCTAAGACATTGAACTGGGGTTGGAGATGAGGTCCTCCTGACCGATCCGGTCGCCTTGCTCATTTGAATAAGACATTGAAATGGTAATTGAGATGAGGTCCTTCTGACTAATTCGGTCACCTTGCTCGTTTGCCGAAGACATTGAACTGGGATGGAGATGAGGTCCTTCTGACTGATCCGGTCGCCTTGCTCGTTTGCCTAAGACATTGAAATGAGGTTGGAGATGAGGTCCTCCTGACTGATCTGGTCGCCTTCCTCGTTTGCCTAGGACATTGAAATGG